CATATCCATCCTATGGATGGTAGTGGCTAGTTTGTGTACCTCATATCCATCCTATGGATGGTAGTGGCTAGTTTGTGTACCTCATATCCATCCTGTGGATGGTAGTGGCTAGTTTGTGTACCTCATATCCATCCTGTGGATGGTAGTGGCTAGTTTGTGTACCTCATATCTATCCTGTGGATGGTAGTGGCTAGTTTGTGTACCTCATATCCATCCTATGGATGGTAGTGGCTAGTTTGTGTACCTCATATACATCCTATGGATGGTAGTGGCTAGTTTGTGTACCTCATATCTATCCTGTGGATGGTAGTGGCTAGTTTATTGTGTACCTCATATCCATCCTGTGGATGGTAATGGCTAGTTTATTGTGTACCTCATATCCATCCTGTGGATGGTAATGGCTAGTTTGTGTACCTCATATCCATCCTGTGGATGGTAGTTGCTAGTTTATTGTGTACCTCATATCCATCCTGTGGATGGTAGTTGCTAGTTTATTGTGTACCTCATATCCATCCTGTAGATGGTAGTTGCTAGTTTGTGTACCTCATATACATCCTATGGATGGTAGTGGCTAGTTTGTGTACCTCATATCTATCCTGTGGATGGTAGTGGCTAGTTTATTGTGTACCTCATATCCATCCTGTGGATGGTAGTTGCTAGTTTATTGTGTACCTCATATCCATCCTGTGGATGGTAGTTGCTAGTTTATTGTGTACCTCATATCCATCCTGTGGATGGTAGTGGCTAGTTTATTGTGTACCTCATATCCATCCTGTAGATGGTAGTGGCTAGTTTATTGTGTACCTCATATCCATCCTGTGGATGGTAATGGCTAGTTTATTGTGTACCTCATATCCATCCTGTAGATGGTAGTGGCTAGTTTATTGTGTACCTTATATCCATCCTGTAGATGGTAATGGCTAGTTTGTGTACCTCATATCCATCCTGTGGATGGTAGTGGCTAGTTTATTGTGTACCTCATATCCATCCTGTAGATGGTAGTGGCTATTTTATTGTGTACCTCATATCCATCATGTGGATGGTAGTGGCTAGTTTGTGTACCTCATATCCATCCTATGGATGGTAATGGCTAGTTTATTGTGTACCTCATATCCATCCTGTGGATGGTAGTGGCTAGTTTATTGTGTACCTCATATCCATCCTGTGGACTGTAGCGTAAAGGCATGTGGCTACGCCTCTTAACCCTCTTCAGGCCGAGGAACTAGGCGTCCAGAGGGTTAAAAAGACATCTGAATTCATATCAACAATTGTCTTATCTGTTGCAATCAAATTTAGGACATTTACTTAACATGTCTGGTATCTTATTTTCATTAATAACATACCTAGACGTATCAAACAGGTTATACTATGTGTATATGAAGATAAATGGTATAAAATACCGCCACGATACACACACTGTGTGTATATATATTCCTCAATAAGTGGACAGTGAAGCACACAGTGTACAACTGACCCTAAGGCTGACCACATACTTCGCACTAAGTTTGATCATGACGTGTGCGTGTGTCTCACTACCAACTGTACTTGTAACCGAGCCTAAGTCTGGCTACTGTGACATTAGTCACAGGTATACAGTCCTAGCTGACATCAATAACATACTACTGTATCGAAAGTCCCTTGTTATGCTGAGCATTTCGGGCAAATTAGGTCAGTTTTGTCCCAGGATGCGACCCACACCAGTCCACTAACACCCAGGTACCCATTTTACTGATGGGGAACATAGATGTAACCACTGTAAAGAAACACGCCCAGTGTTTCTACCCTCGCTAGGACTCGAACCCGGACATCTCACCGTGTGAAGCGAGAGCTTCAGCCACCAGGCCACGTTGCAAGTTGCTCCGTAGACTTTTCTCATCTACGCTCGTGTTATCATAATGGGTGACAGACCTACTCAGCTCCTACCTGCATTCCTCTGACATTTAGTTGTATTATTTACTTTTCACAAGATTATTCCTAATGATAAACAGAGATGTACCAATGTTATATTCTACATTTTCCTTAACGGTATCTCTTTTTTTCCAAATTCGTCAACATTATCATGGAGTGATTGTGCGTGTGATGGAATGTAAGAATATTTGTACATGAGTTCCCCTTTCTCTGATTTCAGAGGTTCGAACACTGGGAGGGGTTGAGAGGTTCGAACACTGGGAGGGGTTGAGAGGTTCGAACACTGGGAGAGGGTTGAGAGGTTCGAACACTGGGAGAGGGTTGAGAGGTTCGAACACTGGGAGAGGGTTGAAAGGTTCGAACACTGGGAGAGGGTTGAAAGGTTCGAACACTGGGAGGGGTTGAGAGGTTCGAACACTGGGAGAGGGTTGAAAGGTTCGAACACTGGGAGGGGTTGAGAGGTTCGAACACTGGGAGAGGGTTGAAAGGTTCGAACACTGGGAGGGGTTGAGAGGTTCGAACACTGGGAGAGGTTGAGAGGTTCAAACACTGGGAGAAATTGCTTCTCCATCTAATACCAACTTAGGGTTTAATCCTATGATTAAGTGGATCGTCTGACGTATCCTATGCCGTGGAATTGAAACCTCCTCAAGGGTTCACTCGAGCAAGCAGGATTCGAACTGCTTGATGGAGCTCACGGTTGAGAGATTCGAACCGTGAGCTTCAGAAGCGTCCAACTCTCACGAAGAGGCTTTGATGCCAACTGAAGGGGGTTCTTGATCTTAGGAATTGGAATTGACCCTCTTTCCCTTTCCTGGAGCAAATCTGATTACCATCCATTCTCCAGGCGTTGTGTAACCCATACGGGCTTAGCGTTTCTCCATGAATGTAACAGTGCCAAAAATAATTGGCAATTGGTGTGCGAACTACAATATAAAATTATGAGAGGAGATTCTGGGTCAGGAGCTGCGACTCAACCCCTGCAGCCACATAAAGGAAAGTACAGTCAGATTAAAAAAAAAAATCACCAAATAAGACTTGTGCAGCTGTTCCTCAGTGTCTCACCAACAGTGGAATATTGACTTAGATTCTGAGGATGGTCGGCTGGCTGAGGCAGTCACACATTCTCTGAGCTAATGGAACGTAATGTAGGGAGCCCAGGGCTGTGTATGCCGAGGTGTGCATAGGCTAGTGTATATACACTAACAGGTGTGTATGTGTGCATATATATATATATATATATATATATATATATATATATATATATATATATATATATATATATATATATATATATATATATATGTCGTGCCAAATAAGTAAAACTGGTCAGTTAGCAAGAATTCATTTAAAATAAAGTCCTTTCTAAAATTTTCTCTTATACTTTTAAAGATGTATTTCTTTTATTTATGTTAATATAAAAATTAATAATTTTGTACCAAAAGAATCTTAGAAAACTTACCTAACCTTATTATAACAAGCTCAATTTAATTTAGTTTAATCCAACTAAATATATTTTAGATAAGTTTACAATAATTTAATAATAAACACAATGAAATATATTTGTTCTTCGTTAGGTTCAGAATTATTTTTGCGAAATTATTGCATACACAAATTTTCGCTTGCCTTATTCGGCAAGAAGAGCGTTGTTGCTATTGAAGGCAAAGAGGGTGTTCAGCAAGGGGACTCAGGTAATTGCTTTGTGACGCCTGGTGACAGTATTATGTGACTGGTGACAGTCTTATGTAACGACTGGTGACAGTCTTATGTAACGACTGGTGACAGTCTTATGTAACGACTGGTGGCAGTCTTATGTAGCGACTGGTGACAGTCTTATGTAACGACTGGTGACAGTCTTATGTAACGACTGGTGGCAGTCTTATGTAGCGACTGGTGACAGTCTTATGTAACGACTGGTGACAGTCTTATGTAACGACTGGTGACAGTCTTATGTAACGACTGGTGACAGTCTTATGTAACGACTGGTAACAGTCTTATGTAACGACTGGTGACAGTCTTATGTAACGACTGGTGACAGTCTTATGTAACGACTGGTGACAGTCTTATGTAACGACTGGTGACAGTCTTATGTAACGACTGGTAACAGTCTTATGTAACGACTGGTGACAGTCTTATGTAACGACTGGTGACAGTCTTATGTAACGACTGGTGACAGTCTTATGTAACGACTGGTGACAGTCTTATGTAACGACTGGTGACAGTCTTATGTAACGACTGGTGACAGTCTTATGTAACGACTGGTGACAGTCTTATGTAACGACTGGTGACAGTCACACCTTCCTTCATAATAACACAAGATCACTTCCCATCCCTACCCCCCCCCCGTCCCCCAGGCGGTGTATGGCCCCTGCGGGCTTAGCGCCTCTCCCTGAACACCATACACGGGGTGGTGAACACTGGGCGGCAGCCGGCCTGTGTTGCCACCCACTGTGACGTCACGCCGCCCCTTTTTAGTTGTTTTTTTGTCGTAGTAAAGAGATTTTTTTTATTTTTTTTATTTTTTTTTTTTGTTTGCGAGAGATTAGTTTTTTTGTGTCGGGGATCTGTCTCCCCATTAGCATTTTTTCCCTATTCTCCCTTTCCTATTTTCTCTTTCTCCCATTGTCATATTACGGGCGAGAAGTGTCTCTCCATTTCCCCTCCTTTTCCATTTCCTCTTTCCCATTCCCTCTTTCTCACTCCTCCCTTTCACATTCCCTCTTTCCCATTTTTCCTGCGCCATCCCCAATTTCCTATTAATTCCCCATTTCCCCTTTTTCACTCCCCCTTATCCTGTCCCACTTTTCCCAAATTCTAGTTTCCCTTTCTCTCCAATTGTTCCTTTATCTCTCATTTTCTCTTTCCCATAATTTCTTTCCCATATTTCTGTTCCCCTCCCACTTCTTAACTATTCTGCTCCCCTTCTCCTTTCATCCCCTCTTCCTGTATGACCAATAATACTCTTCCCAGTTCAGTAACCACACACACACACACACACACACACACACACACACACACACACACACACACACACACACACACACACACACACACACACACACACACATAACCTTGCTAGTTGACATTAAGTCGCCTCCACCACTCTAGTCAAGTCAGTTACAGTTGTGTGTCCAGCCACGCCGCACGCACACACACGCACCTCACACGCGCGTGCACTCACAGACACACACGCGCACCTCGCCACACTCAAGTAAGTATTTGTTTAAGTGGTTCGTTGTGTTTTACTGTCCGTCTATTTCGCTTCATTTCCGCCGTGTGTGTGTGTGTGTGTGTGTGTGTGTGTGTGTGTGTGTGTGTGTACTCACCTATTTATGGTTGCATGGGTCGATTCGTAGCTCCTGGCCTCATATCTCGTGTCTGTGTGTTTAGTTATCTGAATGGGCAGTGAGCGAGCTACAGCTCCTGGCCCAATTTCTTCACTCACAATCAACCTATCAACTTTTGATTTCCTGTGTAGTCAGTTGTAACATGTTATTCCTCAACTCCATTCTATTTTTCAACTATTGAAAACTTGACGCAATGTTTCCCGGTGCCTCGTGCCCTCTCTTGTTCCATCCCTGGTGAATAACCTATCCCTTTCTACCCCCTGTCTATACCCTGGAGTATTATGTATGTCGTGGTCGTATCCCCCCCTTATTGTTCATCTCTCTCTACTCGTGCAATTTCTAGCTGTAGCAATCATTCCACATAGCTTATTTCTCTTAACTCAGGAAGCAGTGTTGATGCACTCCTGTATACTTTCTCAGTATTTAGTGTGAAATAGGCCTGGGTTACACACTGGTTCTGCTGACACATGAATGGGCCGCTTGTGTGAGGTATAGTTCTGACCGAGCCTTTGTTGGGGTTCCTGGAAGCTCCTCTTGTGTTTGTAGTGTTAACCTGTGTGTAATCTGGCGTTGGAAGCGATATTACGGGAATCTTGAAGGACCTATCAAAGGTATTGATGGCTGTTTTGGTTTACTGGGCTAATATATATAGTGGCGAGGGAGCTTCCAGACGGTAGCTTAACATGTACAGACGTTGGTGGTGTTTACATGTGCCTCGGGACAAGTTGTGTTTACATGTGCCTCGGGAACACAGGTTGTGTGTAATGTGCCTCAGGACACAGTGTCAAGGTACATGTACCTCAAGACACAGTGTCAGGGTACATGTACCTCAAGACACAGTGTCAGGGTACATGTACCTCAAGACACAGTGTCAGGGTACATGTACCTCAAGACACAGTGTCAGGGTACATGTACCTCAGGACACAGTGTCAGGGTACATGTACCTCAGGACCCAGTGTCAGAGTACATGTACCTCAGGACACAGTGTCAGAGTACATGTACCTCAGGACACAGTGTCAGGGTACATGTACCTCAAGACACAGTGTCAGGGTACATGTACCTCAGGACACAGTGTCAGGGTACATGTACCTCAGGACACAGTGTCAGGGTACATGTACCTCAGGACCCAGTGTCAGAGTACATGTACCTCAGGACACAGTGTCAGGGTACATGTACCTCAAGACACAGTGTCAGGGTACATGTACCTCAGGACACAATGTCAGGGTACATGTACCTCAGGACACAGTGTCAGGGTACATGTACCTCAAGACACAGTGTCAGGGTACATGTACCTCAGGACACAATGTCAGGGTACATGTACCTCAGGACACAATGTCAGGGTACATGTACCTCAGGACACAGTGTCAGGGTACATGTACGTCAGGACCCAGTGTCAGAGTACATATACCTCAGGACACAGTGTCAGGGTACATATACCTCAGGACACAGTGTCAGGGTACATGTACCTCAGGACCCAGTGTCAGAGTACATGTACCTCAGGACACAGTGTCAGGGTACATGTACCTAAGGACACAGTGTCAGGGTACATGTACCTCAGGACACAGTGTCAGGGTACATGTACCTCAGGACACAGTGTCAGGGTACATGTACCTCAGGACCCAGTGCCAGAGTACATGTACCTCAGGACACAGTGTCAGGGTACATGTACCTCAGGACACAGTATCAGGGTACATGTACCTCAGGACACAGTGTCAGGGTACATGTACCTCAGGACACAGTGTCAGGGTACATGTACCTCAGGACACAGTGTCAGGGTACATGAACCTCAGGACACAGTGTCAGGGTACATGTACCTCAGGACACAGTGTCAGGGTACATGTACCTCAGGACACAGTGTCAGGGTATATGTACCTCATTTCCACCAGGTATTCAAAACTTAGTACCACCTGGTCACTGGTACCTCGTGGTTCCTTATAATTTCAGCTATAACATACTCATTCTGGGTGAAAAGCAGATCAAGTCTCTCTGGCTCATCTACCCCCCTCTCTCTCTCCCCCTCTCCCCCTCTCCCTCTCCCCCTCTCCCCTCTCCCTCTCCCCTCTCCCCCTTTCCCCCTCTCCCTCTCCCTCTCCCCTCTCCCCCTTTCCCCCTCTCCCCTCTCCCTCTCCCCTCTCGCTCTTGTATACTACCTCACTTGCGTAGAAAAAAAAATATTGCTTCTGTTAGCTTCACTCTCCGTGTTCTGATCCCTTGTGTTGTCTCAGCGTTCACTGTTCTGAAGATGGATATCTCATGGTACCGAAAATTGGCTTAGTTTCGCTTCTTGCTTCTCTCTCTCTCTCTCTCTCTCTCTCTCTCTCTCTCTCTCTCTCTCTGCGCCACTGATCATATTCCTCCTTTTCCGATTTCAAAAATTAATAACAACATTATTTACCTGGAGAGAGCTCCGGGGGTCAACGCCCCCGCGGCCCGGTCTGTGACCAGGCTTCCTGGCAAAAGATATGAAACTAATGCAATTTTCTTCATAAGATAAAGTAACTTCATGTTCCCTGGCACATGCTCCGCATCCTGTTGCTCTTGTCCTCTCCAGTACTGTGATCCTGTTGCTCTTGTCCTCTCCAGTACTGTGATCCTGTTGCTCTTGTCCTCTCCAGTACTGTGATCCTGTTGCTCTTGTCCTCTCCAGTACTGTGATCCTGTTGCTCTTGTCCTCTCCAGTACTGTGATCCTGTTGCTCTTGTCCTCTCCAGTACTGTGATCCTGTTGCTCTTGTCCTCTCCAGTACTGTGATCCTGTTGCTCTTGTCCTCTCCAGAACTGTGATCCTGTTCCTCTTGTCCTCTCCAGTACTGTGATCCTGTTGCTCTTGTCCTCTCCAGTACTGTGATCCTGTTGCTCTTGTCCTCTCCAGAACTGTGATCCTGTTCCTCTTGTCCTCTCCAGTACTGTGATCCTGTTGCTCTTGTCCTCTCCAGTACTGTGATCCTGTTCCTCTTGTCCTCTCCAGTACTGTGATCCTGTTCCTCTTGTCCTCTCCAGTACTGTGATCCTGTTCCTCTTGTCCTCTAAAGTACTGTGATCCTGTTCCTCTTGTCCTCTCCAGTACTGTGATCCTGTTCCTCTTGTCCTCTCCAGTACTGTGATCCTGTTCCTCTTGTCCTCTCCAGTACTGTGATCCTGTTCCTCTTGTCCTCTCCAGTACTGTGATCCTGTTCCTCTTGTCCTCTCCAATACTGTGATCCTGTTCCTCTTGTCCTCTCCAGTACTGTGATCCTGTTCCTCTTGTCCTCTCCAGTACTGTGATCCTGTTGCTCTTGTCTCTCAGTACTGTGATCCTGTTGCTCTTGTCCTCTCCAGTACTGTGATCCTGTTCCTCTTGTCCTCTCCAGTACTGTGATCCTGTTCCTCTTGTCCTCTCCAGTACTGTGATCCTGTTCCTCTTGTCCTCTCCAGTACTGTGATCCTGTTCCTCTTGTCCTCTCCAGTACTGTGATCCTGTTCCTCTTGTCCTCTCCAGTACTGTGATCCTGTTCCTCTTGTCCTCTCCAGTACTGTGATCCTGTTCCTCTTGTCCTCTCCAGTACTGTGATCCTATTGCTCTTGTCCTCTCCAGTACTGTGATCCTGTTCCTCTTGTCCTCTCCAGTACTGTGATCCTGTTCCTCTTGTCCTCTCCAGTACTGTGATCCTGTTCCTCTTGTCCTCTCCAGTACTGTGATCCTATTCCTCTTGTCCTCTCCAGTACTGTGATCCTGTTCCTCTTGTCCTCTCCAGTACTGTGATCCTGTTCCTCTTGTCCTCTCCAGTACTGTGATCCTGTTCCTCTTGTCCTCTCCAGTACTGTGATCCTGTTCCTCTTGTCCTCTCCAGTACTGTGATCCTGTTCCTCTTGTCCTCTCCAGTACTGTGATCCTGTTCCTCTTGTCCTCTCCAGTACTGTGATCCTGTTCCTCTTGTCCTCTCCAGTACTGTGATTCTGTTCCTCTTGTCCTCTCCAGTACTGTGATCCTGTTCCTCTTGTCCTCTCCAGTACTGTGATCCTGTTCCTCTTGTCCTCTTCAGTACTGTGATCCTGTTCCTCTTGTCCTCTCCGGTACTGTGATCCTGTTCCTCTTGTCCTCTTCAGTACTGTGATCCTGTTCCTCTTGTCCTCTCCGGTACTGTGATCCTGTTCCTCTTGTCCTCTCCAGTACTGTGATCCTGTTCCTCTTGTCCTCTCCAGTACTGTGATCCTGTTCCTCTTGTCCTCTCCAGTACTGTGATCCTGTTCCTCTTGTCCTCTCCAGTACTGTGATCCTGTTCCTCTTCTCCTCTCCAGTACTGTGATCCTGTTCCTCTTGTCCTCTCCAGTACTGTGATCCTGTTCCTCTTGTCCTCTCCAGTACTGTGATCCTGTTGCTCTTGTCCTCTCCAGTACTGTGATCCTGTTGCTCTTGTCCTCTCCAGTACTGTGATCCTGTTGCTCTTGTCCTCTCCAGTACTGTGATCCTGTTGCTCTTGTCCTCTCCAGTACTGTGATCCTGTTCCTCTTGTCCTCTCCAGTACTGTGATCCTGTTCCTCTTGTCCTCTCCAGTACTGTGATCCTGTTTCTCTTGTCCTCTCCAGTACTGTGATCCTGTTGCTCTTGTCCTCTCCAGTACTGTGATCCTGTTCCTCTTGTCCTCTCCAGTACTGTGATCCTGTTCCTCTTGTCCTCTCCAGTACTGTGATCCTGTTGCTCTTGTCCTCTCCAGTACTGTGATCCTGTTCCTCTTGTCCTCTCCAGTACTGTAATCCTGTTCCTCTTGTCCTCTCCAGTACTGTGATCCTGTTGCTCTTGTCCTCTCCAGTACTGTGATCCTGTTCCTCTTGTCCTCTCCAGTACTGTGATCCTGTTCCTTTTGTCCTCTCCAGTACTGTGATCC